GCAGCGCACAGAAATATTCAGGAACTCCTGGAGCTGCCTTTTGCTCTCTAAGCAAAATCTAACACTTATAAATGGTGAGTTTTATTTAAAATACTATATACGGGTTTTGGTTTTTTAATGAAAAATATTTAATTTCTTCATGTAAGTATTTATGTTTGTACGTACTTGGCTGTGCTTAGGGTCTTGCCTAGCTAAATAAAGGAAGAGTGAAAGGAGTGGGGGAGGCAATTTTGGTCTACATTAAACAATAATGGTTATGTCTGCTGTGTTAACTTCTAGGGAAACAACAGGAATGAGTTAAGAAAAGATTAGGCAGTTTGGTATCATTAGAGAAGTGTACAAGTCTGTCAAAAGTATGTCCGTTTTATATGTGTTTATTATAGAAATACGTCTAAGTTACAGATACACTTTTGAAGGTATTACACTGTGTTTCTAACTAGCTTTATTAGATAACTCCAGCCATTGGATTGTCCTGTGTGTTAGCAGCAGAAGCAGCAAATTAATTAAATCAGAATTCCTTTGGCAGACCAGGTTTCAGTTAAAATTAATCTAAAAGCACATTAAATGCATATTTCTTTTTGGGATGCTTCCATATTCTGTAGCCCGACAATATAAGCTGCTTCAGTTCAAACAATACTATGGATATGTCAAGAGGTTTTGTTTGTTTTCTGTAGGATAATGTAATCAGATACCTTACACAAGGCTGAAACCTGTACACCGTTGTGTGTTTACCCAGTTGGTTGATGCTGTGGTGTAGCATTGTGGAGAATCTGTCATGCGTTTATACCTTTGGATGGTCACACGCATTTTGTATATATGTGCTTAACTTGCAGTAACAGGGAAAATTGGTACTTGCTTCCAAGTTTACTGTTTTGTGCCAAAACCTAGAAGATAAACTTTTTTGAACAACGTACGTGTTTTGGAGAACGTACTTTTAAGTTGCCATTAATCTAGGAACTGATGTGACTTCTGTTGGCTCCAGTAAGAGAGGAGACAAACTTACATGACTAAGATAGCTGAGATCCTGCACAAGATCTTTTGATCCTGCATGGTGTGATTTGGTTGAGCAGGAGGTGGAACCAGAAGGAATGGAGAATTGCATTTTGGAATTGCAGGTTTTATCTTGCAGGTTTGAGACAAACACAGGTGCTAGAAAGAAAGGACTTATCCATGCTTGTGAAAGTTTCAAGAGACAGAAGGAAATTCTTCAGTGTTTGCTTTTATTCAGATTGGCTTAAACCAAGTACAAATTTATAGCTTTCTAGTTTCACTGGTTCTGATAAACTCGGTGATGCCTGCATGCTCAAAATACCTGTGGTCAAAGTTAAAAGTCTACTGGAGTTAAACAGCAGCAGAGAAGGAAGGAGAATATTGGTTTTGGGCCTCATTTGGCTGTTAGATGAGGGGATTACACACAGTGTTTCAGCACTCTGGGAACTTCATGGTATTTTTTTCATCTGCTTTTTGCACTTTTATTTCATAGTGGAATGTAAATTTGATAATAAACATGTATAACATGCCATTTTTCAGTATATTGGTGTATCTTGTGTGGTTTGTTCCAGATGTTATCTTCTGTTATAAATGATCGCATCCAAATTTAGTCATAAATAAAATTTCCAATTTATTAAATAAATAAATAAATAAATAAAGATAAGCAAAACCAGCACTGGACGGACTGGGAGCCCCTGCTCTACCTGGCCCGCACCAACCGGTTTCCCTCCTCAGTATTTATTCTCTCTCTTCTCAAACATAGTTGTAACCTTTCATACATATTCATAGGATTGCCGGGAAAAGGGTGGGTTTATGGAGATCTTTCTCTCGCATGCTCTCTTTGTCTGTTGGGGTCTTTTTTGCCCCTCTGTGGTCGTGGGATGAAGTAAATACTCTTCCTCGGCCTGCCCTTTTGGTGACCCTGAACTTTGCGCATGCGTCTTACAAACAACGTCTTTTTGGGCCCGGATAACTGTATACAACACTGAACAGAACCAGTTGGACTGGCCCATTAGAACACTGAGTCGGGATGGCTTTGCAAAAAACAGAGCTATTTACACATTACGTCACCCTGCCCCCTCAAACCTGCAGTTGTATTTTTGACTGAAGTGTTTTTATAGATCTAAAAAGAGCAATATTTTAAACTTATTTTACACTGTGCAAAACTATATGCTGAGGTAGGTGAAAATGGACTAAAAAGTCCTAACATTATTTCATAATAACACGAATCCTGTAAACTTATTTCACACTTCTGTACCACAGTGTTCTATAATAAATCTAAAATAGGCCTTTTTTGGCTAAAATTTACCCGTTATACTGTAGACAAGCTTGTTGAGTTTGTATCTGCACAAGTGGTGCCTGTAAAAGCTGAGAAACTGATTTAAAGACTTAATCAGGCTGAGCTGGTCTGTTTGCTGTACTATGCAGTTAGAGGTGGGAGATGTGCAGTACAAGCTGTGATCTGACCACACAGTAAATGTGGGATGCTTAAATCTAGAACCCAACGCTTACAGAGGACCTTCTTCAAAAGTCTTTTACTTGAGAATAAAAAACTTCACAAATGAAGAATAACTCATCAACCTCTAAACAGAGTATTTGAATGTGAGCCTCACTTTAAATGAATGTGTTGATGTTTTCTGGTACTTTGGCCTTGTTTTGGGTTGTATTTGTGGTTAAAATGAGAGTAGAGATTGAAACCAAGCTACTTACTCTTGAAGACAGCTCCCTTTGTGTCGGTCTCACTGAAGTTCTCTTGGCCCAGAGGTGCCAAATTCTTGCCAGTCATGTCAGCCTGGGGCTGGGTATACCACTTTCAGCCCAAGCCCCTGCACTTAACATTGCAGGCTGAAGGTTCTGATCATTTTCCCCCAAACACTCACTTTCTTCAGAATGGGAACAATATTGATTTGCAGTTAACAATTTCTTACTTGAATTAGTCAAACAGTTACTGGCAGTGGTTTCTCTAGTTGTCTGCACATCTCAAAGAACCAGGAACCACCGTTATCCTACTAAGTATTCTGTATTTATTTAGTTTTCTTATTTTTTCTGCCATGAGAAGGGGTTGCACTCTTATCAGACTGAAGTTGACTTGTCAGACTAAGTTGATTTTTCAGCGCAACTTTTCATATGGTGAAGTCTGAGTTGCATGTTTTGAGGAGACATTTTCTTCCTGCCGTTATCTGTGACTGTCACACCTATAAATGCTTAGGCAGGATGGAGCCATAAAGCTGGAATACCAGTATCTGGGTTTCAAGAGACACTGACCAAGTTCCCTTCACTAGCAAATAGGTAACTCACACTGTTCCCTAATATTGATTGTATTTATGTGCACAAGTACTTAACATGTTTGTATGTCCTCAGAACAAAGGCCTGTGTTACCGACTTAATTAACTAATGACATTAGATAATGTGTCCCACAGTGGAGAAGCATTACAGCCACAGGCAACTAAACAGAACCAGAGGAATGTTGGCTACTGGTAGAGCTGGGATTTCCAGCTATGTGCTCTCTCTGCATCAAAGCTGTTCATGATGCATATGAAAAGAAAATTAATGCAGTATACAAGTTCCTGTTGAACTGAAGAGATTTCAGCTTTCCTGAAATGCCAGAGCTGGAGGAGTACAGCTGGCTGCTGCTTTCTAAGGATGTACATGCTATGTAAAAGTGTAAGAGTTTGGGGAGGTGGGGGTTTTTTTTCCACTTGTTCTTTAGCGCTTTGGACGTAATATGGGAAGAGAGTTGTAATGCCTTTAAAGCTGCAGAAAAAGAGATAGAATTAAGCACAGAAGCTCAGGCATGCCTGAGTAAGGTGAAAGGAAGAACTTCCTGGAGAAAATAGGGTTTTAAATCAATGGGACTTGGGCAATTCTGAGAATAAATTATGGAGTGGTTCTGCATAGATGAGACTTGGAAGTGCCTTGAGCTCATTTTCCTTTTTGTTAGTCACACTGCTAAAAGAAAGACTTTTGATGCTCTCCCAAGAGCAAGAGCCTTTAAATAGCATTTTATACAATGGAGAAGTGAATACAAATAAAGCCTTTTTTTTGTGGGTTGGAGTTTCCACTTTAAAGTATCTTTAATTCGGGCAGTTGAGTTCTTGGTGTGTAGGTTTGGATAACCCAAGAGAAGCTTTTAGGAGAAATTTTCAAATAAATGGGAAAGGTGGAAAACGTGTGAACTGGTTTTGGCTGGGGTACAGTTAACTTCATAGCACCGTATCAGCTACTGTGTTTTGGGTTTGTGCTGAAAACAGTAACACAGGGTTTTATTGCTGAGCAGTGCTTACACTGTCAAGGCCTTTTCTGCCTCACCCAACCTCACCAGCAAGCAGGCTGGGGGCGGACATTTTGAGGGGACAGCCAAGCCCAACTGACCAAAGAGATATCCCAGCCCGTGTGACATCATGCTCAGCAATAAAACTGGGGGAGAAAGAGGGAAGAAGATAGGGGGATATTTGGTGTGATGGTGTTCGTCTTCCTAAGCAACCGTTATGTGATGGAGCCCTGCTTTTCTGGAGATGACTGAACACCTGCCTACCGATGGGAAGTGGTGAGTGAATTCCTTGTTTGGTTTTGCTTGTGCATGTGGCTTTTGTTTTACCTATTACACTATCTCAACCCATGCATTTTCTCATTTACCCTTCCAACTGGTGGGGAGTGTGGGGCTGAGCTGTCTATCAGGGTTAAACCACAACCTGTTTCCATTTCATTTTTCTGGTGGCTCAGTTTACCCCACAAGTTCTCGTGCATTTCAAGCTAACAAAGAAAACTCCTTCCTAGTTTAAGGATGGCTAAATGCTGTTCCTCCCATCTGAGTCACGAGGAATTGACAGAAAGGGAGCACATAGCCAAACTGACGAGAATTCCCTTCATGGCACTGTGTAATCAGAGCCATTAGTAGTACAATAAGCAGATAAGAGCACTGTGCTGTGAAGTGACATATGTGCATGTGGTTTCCTTACATACTGCTTTCACAGCTTGCTTCAAGCTCACATCAGAAATCACTGGTGTGCAAGAATATTTCCAGAAATTACTGAAGAGAGCAGCTGCTGAAGAAAGCTGGATACTGGCAAAACTTTGTGTAAAATTCCACGTAATTGTGTTTATAGTTAAGATTTTAGGCTGTCAGATTACCTGAGGATCTGTCCCTACAATCTTAACTCTGAACTGAGAACAAGACAGCACCAAAGGGAGGGACACAATGATGGTGCCCCAAGTCAGTGCCTGCCTCCTTCCTATGAACAAGTGATTGTGGAGCTGCCAGATTGTGAACTGGCTAGGTGTCAGCTGCTTTGTATGAGGAGACTAAGGGTGGAGACTGATAACTGACAGATTTGATTCCTAACTGATGAATTCCTTATCAGAGTCATAACTCATTATATGAGGATATTCTTGGTAAGACCTTGTTTATGGTATGTGGTCAATCTTGCTGGAACCCCAAATTATTTTACCATGAATGCCTGAGATAACTAGTTCCTTGAACATAGCTAACTATATTTGGTGTATCTTCTTCCTTTTACTTCCTAAGGAAAAAGTCTGTGTGAGCATGCTGTCAGTCAGACATCTCTGACTTCAGAATCTCTTGGCTCACTTAGATTTTGTCAACAATGCAGACCAAAGATCCAGCTTTCCCCTCTAATGGAAAGGGAACTGTGAAAGTTCAGTACGTCTGATCTGCCTGATCCCTGGCTGGAGCCAATGTGACAGGCAGGGAGCCCACAAGGTATGCACAGAACTGGAAGTTGCTGAAGAACACAGGTGACTTGTAAGAGGTAAAGTGCTGAGCAGTAGGCATGGGGAGAGAGAGGATCTGGGTTACAAAATCCCCCATAAAACAGGTTGCAGTAATTATTTTGCCCATGAAGTAGTATGCTTGTTTGCTGCAGTTTGTATTGAATATTTGAAAAAATAAATATGGGTTTCTTTCTCTTGGCTTGCACATTTCTTGCCATGCCCAAGTAACAGACAAACTTCTGTATATAAGCTGTCCTTGCTTCAGCACAACTCTTAATGGTTTCATGATGAATCCCTAAACAAGCATCAACAACTATCTTGGAAAATTATTCCTAAAATCTGGAAGCACAGATTTGCCCATTTCTGTAACTGCTTGCTGCATGTGCCGCTTGTTAAGGTTCTAATTGTTCTCAGTCTATTAATCTCTCTGCTGTTATCTTCACAGACACAAATTGGTACCAAAGAGAGAAAAAGTATTCAGCACAGGAAGGCTTTACTCTTAAAATAACTCCAGTGAGGATCTACTGGTGTAGTTAAGTAATTGCCTGCACTGATATCATTAATGCTGAAAGCTGAAACAAGGGTGTAACAGAATGAACATTTCAAAACAAAACAGAGAGACTAACGAACCTTTAGCTTCTATTTAGAGCTTGTAAAACTCCCTGTCCTATGTGCACACTAATGACAGAAGGCAATACAAAAATGTTTCTAAGGAGCTGGGTACTTATCTAGTGATTTCTTCTTTTGCTGTGCTTAGAACTGAGACTCAAAGATCAGTAACATAAGTGAACACAGGGTAACTGGACATCTTCAAACATGAAGCTCTACGTCAGAAACTGCTATTCACTGTTAAGAGCACTCTGAAATGCAGGTCACAGCTACATCCTGCTGAGGATGCTGAAGGACAAGTGCTTGACTTTTCCTTGAGGTGTACCAAGACACTAAGAATGAGTGATTTTAAGTGGTGGGCAGAAGTGACAAACCACAGTGATGTAAGCTGATTATATCCTATAAAATTCACAGCACCCCCACCTTTATTTTGCAGAAGTTAGGCATAAAACACACAAGGCCTCGTAAGAGTTATCTTTCCAATGCAAATTTTAAAAGAAGACACCTTACTAACGCAAGAGCAATGTGGTTCAGCTGATAGAGGACACAGCATATTTTAGCTAGCAAACTACAAATTGGAGACCAGCTCAGAAATGCTCTCAAGTATGAAATGTCACACATACTAACACAAATTTCTTAAGGCATTTGCTCCCCATCTGTTTTTTCAATAAAAACATTTGCTCTTGTGGTAAGAGCAGATACTGAAAGTCTGTTATGGTTTTAGTTGATACCAGCCGATTCCAGTGTGCTGCATCTCCCTCTACCATGCAGTTCCCGCCCATTTAGTTGACAGGAAAGATAAGCTTTTTCCTCAGTGTGAAACTGGGCTGTGGCATCTGCTTCTCTGCATTCGGCTCACAACTCTTTCTGCTCACCTCTTGATTCACTGCTGTCAGGATGGTAAGAATATCTTCTCCTCTGCAAAAACACAAGTACGTTTTGTGTTAGGGAGGTAGTTAATATCAGAAAAATTATCACATTCTTATATACCTTGAGTTATACCAGTGCTAACAGGTCCTGTTTTAAACAGGTTTCAAAACAGCTTTAGCTAAACTGCTTTGAACAGTCTGCATGGTGTTGCTCTGTCCTATGTTGCTGTTTTCACTCTGAGCAAGCACTCCCATTGCATATCCTCTACCTCTGCATCCAAATGCCTGTTATTCAGAAGGAAAATATAGGTGTTGCCAAAAACAAGCTTATGGAACCATAATTACCGAGGACAGCTGTACTCCAAGTGCTGGCACAATGCCTGTATATACCAGGTCCCCTGCCGTCGGCTTCTGTAGGAAACATAATCTTGAAGTGTAGCCATGCCCAAGAGGAAGTCTGCCTCTGCAGGGATGCAGTCGAGCTGAAATCTTGCATCTGTTTCTACAGAAGAATCTTGCTCTCCAGAATCTGTTTCAATGGTCACACCTTTCTGGCAAGCATCACCTTGGCAGGCCTGAACAAAAAAGACTTTTGGTTTTCCAGCAAGTGAGTGGCAATTCTGTCCAGTGAAAGAAGTGGTCAGTTCTTGGATAGGTACTTCCTGCCCATCAACACCATATACAATGCCTTTTTTCCCATGAGACAGAACACAGCAAACAAAACAGTCTTTGTCCTTGTGGTCTTCGCACCGGTAGATGTTCACAATCTTACGGATTTCCTCTGCAGTGAGGTCTCTATATTCTGCTATTGTAAAATGAAGTTTGCCAAAAACTCTTCTCAGAGCCACTGGAAAGTAAACATGAGAATTGGAGCAGTTTCATTATATGAAGGTTGGACTCTGCGATTGCAAATTGCATTTCTAGAGATAAACAATCTTATTTTAAAAATCCTGCTACACTACCATCCTGGTAGTTACATTCCTGCTCTGAAAATAATCTAGTAGTCTAATCACTAATCACATCTCTACTGAGTTCCCTTAACTCTCATTAAAAGGCTTCCTTGAAGTCTTGCTGTTTACTATCACTCTGTCTGGAAAGTGTGCAGAACTATTAGGAAAGCTGTATCTCCTTCACCCACCCACTTTACAGCTAGTCCCTTGATCTCTCGAAAGGTGCTGAACAGTGCAGTTGCTTTATCCAAGAGGAGAGGGCACTACCCATCTGGGTAGTATCTGTGTCACAGGAGGAGAAACCTTGCACTCTGACTCATCAGTTAAATTGGAGTTCAATTCAATCTGGGAAAGCCCACTGATGGATTTTCTCTCTTGGTACAGATAGTGCAAATACAGCCGTCTCACAGACCCTAGGGCCTGTAATGAGCTATGCTGCTGCAGGACAGCCTGCTAAAATCAGGAGCCCTGAATAGCAAGGTAATCAAGTCCCTAACTCCAATATCCTCCCTATTTTTTTTTTTTAAATGTTGGATGTTAAACAACTAACACCCAGTTCTGGCTCAGCAGTTTCTGATTCTGCATATATTAGAAATAGTATGCATTAAGGCTGATACAAAGCTAGCCTAGCTTGGAAAGTCCAGGCTGAGGTTGTTGCTTAAGATTGCAGTAAACTCGGTGTAACAGCAAAATGCTAGTGAATTGCTCTGAGTCAGCCAGTAAACACTTGATGAATTGATTAGGGTTTGTCAGCATAGGAAACTGAGCTGACTCAGCCCACTTTCTCGGATAAAAAAGTATCTGAGAAAGGGAAGACTGAAATTCAGACCTTTAGTACAGAAAAAGACATGAGGTTTCTATTTTTGAAGATACGCAATCTCATCTTTAATGTTCACTGTACCTGCATCCACATCTGTCCCATGCCGATCCTTCAATTTTTTTGGTTCTGGCACTGCTTCCCTGGCTTTTGCAAAATTGTGATTATTCAGGATCAGGCACACTCCACGGGGCCTGCTAGTCATTTTATAAGCTTCAAGCTGTTGAAAAGAAAGACTATTGGTGAAACTACTGTACTCTCCTCCAGGTGCTTCTCAGCCCTCACTAGTAGCACAGCAGGGTAAAGAGCCAGCCCGCTTTCTCTCCAGGCAGCTCTCCCTATACAGCTTTGCTCCCAGGGCCTGGCAATACGCTGCCCCACTGCCTCTGGGAGTCTGTGCACCACACAACAGCACCCCCCTCCCCCAGACCCACACCATCATGCTCAACCCACACAGGGTGAACCCACACAGGGTGCCGCATTCACCCACTTCTCCATGCCCAGCCATCTGTCAGCTGCGTATTTCCCAGTATAATAAACTCGGCCTAAATTCCCAACCTTGCAAATGTTTCTGAAGTTTTAACGCTGCAGCAGCTGCTGCCTGTGATTTAGCTTCAGAATAAAGGGTGCTACAGAGGGGTGCATTTTTGTTTTTCTAGACAGTGCTTTTAACAGTTCAGCATATAACAACTGTTCACTTCATGGAGGGATGATCGCTTCTAAGACAAAATTATGACATTTCTACGAAACAATCTGACTTACCTGGGAAGATTCATTCCAACTGCCAGGAGAATCAGGCGCCACAGATGACGCCAGCCATCTGGCATGACCTGAATACAATCAAAAAAGTTTAAGTACAGAACGTAGCACTAGAGAAAGAAAAGAAGCTCTGTGCCTATTCTCCATCTCCACAAGTACCTCCTGTGGTAAAACTGTTCTCTGAAAACACTGAATTGTGGTTGAATGGCTGTTCCTGTTAGCTATAAACCACCAGATAGCCAATTAAAAGGGAGTAAAAGGTATTGTGATCAGTAAGTAACTGGATACTGGATCACTTTTTCAAGTCCAAAAGCTGAAGAGTAAAAAAAATCTAAACATAATTTTTTTGAGAGTTTCAGTTACCTTCAGGGCCTTTTGTGCTGCCCCTCTGTTCCTCTGGAATGAGCATCTCTTCTTCACCTGAAAAGCATTCAGTATTAGTCCTGTATGACACCAATAAGCCACTTTAAGAATGACTATGGGAAAGAGGCCTTTTTTGGTTTGTTTTGTTTTACCAAATAGGTTTAATTCATACTCTTCAATTCTCTTCAACAGGACGATGTTAATTTCTGCACAGAGACTCTTCAGCATACTTAGGTTGTCTTCTCCCAAAATCCCCTTCTTCTCCATCTCAATGAAAACGTCGAGCATTGTCTGGGTAATCAAAAAGGCAGTCTGCTCTTAGCGCACATCCATGCTGTCACTGGAAGGGAAGCTGCAGCATATGCATGCGCACCCAAGCTTAAATGTACTGTACTGGCAACCCACAAAGTCAGTTCAGCTGACTGGTAGCTCAGTTGAGACCTCAGCTGAGCTAGTTAAACCTACTTCAACAAAACCTGTAAGTACAAACATCTTCTCAAAACATTTCCCTTCTGCAGTTCAGAGATGCTGAGATCTAACAAGATCTAATCCAGGAGATCTAATGGTGATCATGCAGGAATACATAAAGTCATTTTTAATGGCTGCTTTCATTCATTTGACTTCCCGTGGTTATCTTGTGCACTTAACTGAAACACAACAATCACTGTAGTGACCATCTTGAGCAATGGTGAAAATGGGTATAACCACAGAGTATGGTGTTGAGATTGCTCAGAAGCAAAAGGGGACCCAAACGACAGGAGCTCTTACCAAACAGTGAGTGGCAGAGCACAATGGTCACTCAAAGGATTTACTAGATGGTCTCTCCTCTAAGAAAAGAGGGAAAATGCTAAAAGTTTTCATTAGACACAACAAAGTACCCAGCAGCTGGAAGTGCAGGCTGAGATAGTGTAAAGGCAGCTGGATCTCCCACAAGGTTTTTTGTAAGTGCCTGGATCTTAGCCTTGGTAAGGATCTATTGCTTAGATCCATATTTTGAGTTTGGAAATAAAAAGAACAGAAGCATAAAGTAATAGCCACAGAGAGTGATTTTCTGTGTTTGAAAATGGCTTAGAAAGCAGCTAAAAGAAAATCGGTTGGACAAGACAAATGAATGTGCTCATCAGCCTTCCACTGATCAAAGCCACTGAGTCCCCTAAGTCCCGTATAGTGCGTGGACATGAAGGCCTCTGTGTCCAGTGCAGGGCTGGCTCATTCTCTCTGGGCTGTGATGCTGTTGTGAAAGCACTTGCACAGATAAGTCCCATGTGCACTGGAAGGCCTATAATCCCCTTCCAGGTGCACCCTTTTTCTATGGTTTTCACCATAAAAAGGGTGATGCCATCAAAAGAGTACCACCACAAAAAGAGTAACACCATAAAGAGAACGACACATATTCTCCTCATGGCAACCCAGCTGCCTCTGTAGATTATAATAAGCATTAAAAAAATATATAAAGAAATTCTTACAGTCTTAGGGTTTAGCCTGCATTTTGGTAATTCTTTCCCCAAAAGAAACTTGAAAGACTTCAGTTCATCTTCGGTGATGTCTTCTGACAGCTGAAAGAGTAGATATCTAGAAAAAGAAGTGCAGGACACCATTTCATCGTGTTGCCAAGCACATCCCTTAGCACAATTTACCACTGTACTGTTGAACTGTTCCCTTCAGCTCCACCCCCAAGCACATGCCCCCTTTTTTTCCTTTTTAAGTGGGGGGATGTCAGTCCCAGGACAGCCTGAAGTCAAACCATTTTCAGCTGCAATTAAAAAGATGTCAGCTTTTCCTAAAATCAAAACCACGCTGAAACTTTCTGGAGTTGGAAACAAAGACTTACACCCAGTCACTTATCACACCACGCAGCACACGGGCAGGGAGGCCGTGGGGGGGCTGGTAAGTATTTCAGAAAGGTGCGGCTTGAGTTTTCTCAATTCCAACTTTCCGTATGGCTTGCGCCTGCTTTCTCTTGGAAGGCGCTTGTGTGCTCCCAAACCTTAGCCTGGTGTTCAAATGCCGGTGAAAGCTTACACCGACCCCTCGAGAAGGGCAGCCGGTCCCAGAGAGCGAGCTGTGCCCGGCTGAGGCTCGGCTCGGCCGGGTCCGGCC